GCTAGTCAATGTCTGTTACAGTATACAACATAAATAGAGGGATGCAGATACAGTCAAATTCAGCATTAAACTGTAAGAAAAGTTTACTTTCGTTACACTACTGTAAAGAGATCTTACAGTAGATGAAAGGCACTAGAAGAGAAAAGTTCAAAAACCAAACAACAGAATATACAGTGAACACACATTAGAATATACTGTCAGTTACTGTAAATAAATAAATTCATTCAAAGCCAAATTGCATTACAGTATTGGTAGTATCCTTATTTGTTATAGCAGTTTCTTAGTCTTCTGATAAAAGATTTCTCTGCCTCCCCTAGACAGTCGTCTCTCAGTTCTGCAAAAATAGAGTACATGTAAGGGCTACTTGGCTTCAAATAAATTCAACAGTAATGAGTTTGAGGGTGTACAACATGTGCTACAGTATTTACTGTACATAGAATAATGAAAGTTCTCTCATCTGAAGTACTGCTCCTATGTAGTGTAATTATATTGTATGTGTATTGTGTAAGTAGTATTGAAACCTTTTAGATGAGCCTGTAGCTGAGCTTCCCTCATGGTCAGTCCATGCAGAAGAGCATGCTCAACTATAGTGCTTTGTATTTCATCAGGAACAAATGAAATTGGACCTCATCCCCTTCGTTTTTATTTCCCCCCTTCAATTCCTTTTTGTCTCCCACTACCAGGATTCATTTGCCAAAACACATAATCAGTTGTGCTCTTGTTCATATCATCCTGAGATTCTGACCTGTGTGGCATCAGTTTTGCTACTTAATGTTCACACATGGATAAATGTGTGCTTTTTGAGTAAATTTTTTGATGCTTGAGTTAATTATATTGTGTGTTTGTGTGTTCTGAATGAGAACATGGTTAAACCTGTGCAAAATGATGGCTTTTTTGTGTAGAGTTTTGCAGAAAACACTGGGCAAATTGGAACGTGTGTGCAAACAGGTGAAATGTGTTCAAAGTCTTTGTTTCGAGAACTGTATGAATGGTTTGGAAAATTGGGCCAAATGAATCGGTTATATAGTGTGATAGCAATCGAGAAAAACTGTAATAGAACATTTTTGGTTAAAGCCTATTAATTTAATTAATTATATAATATTTAGTGCTGTCAAACGATTAATTGCATCCCAAATAAAAGTTTTTTGTTTACATAATATATGTGTGTGTACTATGTATATTTATTATGTATCTATAAATACACACACGCACATATATATTTAAGATAAATTTTATATTTGTATATTAAATATTTATATATAAATATTTTCAAAATATTTACCGTATGAGTGTGTATTTATGTATACATAATAAATATACACAGTATACACACATATATTATGTAAACAAAAACATATTTTGGATGCGATTAATCGTTTGACAGCACTAATAATATTGTTAATAAGTAAATTATTAATAACGTGTATTATTAATAATTATTGAATTTAAGAGTTTTATTACCGTATTTTTACTCTAATAACCGAATGAGATTTAACATTCAACATTAATGATAGAAAATTACCAAAAAAAGAGTCTGAATTGGTGAATTTAAAAGTGAGAATTTGAGGAAGAAAATCTAGTATTTGTCTAGTAAATACTAATGTATTTAGACACAATAGTATTTATTTGTACTGTAATGTATGGTGATTTAAATTTTAAAAATCATTATTATATTACAATATTTTAAACCGATAATCTAATAAGAATCAGAGTATTGGAAAAAAAAAATGTGGTAATAAGACATTTCATAATGTAAAAGTGCAAGTAGTAGTCAATTAAAAATAGGCTTTGTTTAATTTATGCAAAATATAATATCTTCTATCTTTTTAATTTGGGGGAAAATGTGACTTGCGTAAGATTCACCCGTGTGTGAGTGGATTTGTTCTGATGTGTATGATGTTGAGTAGCAGAAAATTGAGTCGTCAGCAGCTTATCTTGGACTCCCTTGCCTTTAACACTGTTTGTGTGTGTGTGTGTGTGTGTGTGTGTGTGTATATGTTTGTCACATGGCATTAGATTTTCGCCCCTGTCCTGAGTAATTATTGTCTCTGCCCCTCACTCTAGATTGTTCCCGGTGATCCTTTGGATAAGAGCATTGTGATTCGTCCTCTAGAGCCTCAGCCGGCCCCTCATCTGGCCAGAGAGTTTATGATCAAAACCCGCAGGCGCAAAGTAAGACACATTTGACATCTCTGAAATGTCAATCAACTTGTTTAGTTTGAATATGCATCATATATCATCATCCTAATCATCTCTCTCTTCCTCCAGGGTTTGAGCGAGGACGTCAGTATCAGCAAGTTCTTCGATGACCCTATGTTGCTGGAGCTGGCCAAACAAGATGTGGTGCTCAATTACCCGATGTGATGCGACAAATGAACTTAACTCATCCCATCATTCCCCTTCAGCTTCACCAGACTTGCCCCTACTACAAATCAATCCAGTTCTGTATGATGGAATTAAAAATGTATTTTTTATATGTAAAGTGCTAGAAACATCCACACCGATTACTGTTGCTGTTGCCGCAGACTTTCCTAAATTAATCTGCGACATTCAGGAGCTCCCTTATAATTGTGTTCTTTGCTTATTTTTATATTTGACAAGTGTTTTTGTAGTATAAGATAATGTAAAGCACAGGCAAGTCTTTTAGAAAAGTGTCTGAAATCTCTTTAAAATCTTACATCATTTGTGTAAGTGTGATTAAAAGGATTTGGCCTGTGGATCTAGAGTTTGAGGACATTATGGATGTATTCTTTGATATTGCCGGAAGGACTCTTTGATGTGAAGGAGAAGATGGTTTTGATATGCAGTATGAAAGTATGCTCAAACTTTGGAAGAGAATATTCAACGCAGGGGAAACTTTGAGAACATTTGCTGAATACAGAATAAAAGTGAAGTACATGTAAGGGCAGGAGACACGCGTCTGCATGCATGCAGGTAAAAACAGATCCATCTAATAGACACTGCAGAAGCAGAGCTAAGTGAGGTTGACATGAGTGAAGGCCATTCAACAGACACAAGTCTGACATTTAAGTGAATGTCTCAGATGTCTTTTTTTTGTTGCTGTGCCCTTTTCTTAAAAAAAATTGCATTCATATTAAATGAACTTCAGTTCAGTTCTGAATTTAACATTTAAAGTAACCTAAACCAGAAAGGAATAAAGTGGAAAAACGTCAGAAAGTTATACGAAACTTAAGTGAATATACATGCCCATTTTTATTTTTGAATAAACTATCCCTTTAATAAAATACTGTTATAATTATATACACACAGTGGGGATCAAATTTAGAGAACAATCTGTAAATATTTAATCTTCACTCAAAATTAGAAGGAATATTAGCTGTAGGTATTTTGTGGAAAATGCGGTGATCAAAATTAGAGAACCGTAACCACTGTCGCACGAAAGATTACAACAAAAATTGTGGAGGGATACAGATGTCAGAAATTAGTAGGAAGTGTAGAGGCCCTCGTTTTGAATGACTTAAGCACATCCGCGGCAGCAGGATATCACTAGTTTCTCACAGTGCTCTGGTGTGATCTTGGTCCTCTCTTCTTCCTCTCTCTTCCAGAGTTCAGTAACTAGTGGGTTTCTTGGCCAACTTTGTCGCCAAGGGTTTTCCAGAGATTTTCAGTCTGGTTTAGATCAGGACTCTGGCCTGGCCATTTCATGATTTCAGTGTTCTTAGATTCAAGGAACCAACCGCTATACCTGTTTTGCCGCATGACGGGATCATTGTCTTACATGAAAATAGCAGGCTGAATCGGAGATGCTTGCAGGGAAAGTACTGCATGTTTCTGAAAGAGGTCTTCTGCCATGTGTCTGTATAAGAGACCCAACTCGCTGCAGAAAACATACCCCAAACAATGACACTCCTCTTTCTCCACCTTTCACTGTCTTCTTTACACACTTGGGCTTCAGTCTTTCCCTAGTATGATGCTGAACAAAATGTCTCCCATCAGACCCAAATAAATTAAACTTGTTCTCATCACTAAAGTGAACTTTGGAGCAGTTCTCCTCTCTCCACACAACATGCTCCTCAGCAAAGGTGAGCCGAGCCGTTTGATTCTTCCTGCTGATGAGAGGTTTGGTCATTACAGAGTGTGCTTTCAGTCCGACTTCTCTTAAACGTCCCGAGACAAATCTCTACCCCTTTCAGCACTGAACTGGCAAGCAATTCCAGCTGCAGTGTTGAACCGATTCCCCATTGAGAGTCTCTGCATTATCATGTCCTCTCGTGCATTTGTCTTTTGTGGATGACCAGCCTTTTTGGGGGATTTGAATGAATTTGTGTCATTGTAAACCTGCAATATTGGAGAAATCAGAGATCTGGAACTTCTCTTGCAATGGCTGAAAGGGTCATCCCTTTAGCCTTCATCTGGACCACCTCCTGTCGCAGGGTTTGAGTCACCTTAGAGCGGCCCACCATTTTGCACTCTCAGTGAACATTGGAGGAATGCTGCCAGCTAAATAGGGTTGGTCATATAATTAAGGAAATTAGCACCAGATGGCAGATTAACATTTTAAAGGATTACATTTAAAAAACATAGGAATGGCATGTCAACACGAGAGTAAGGGAATAATGACTTTTCATTTTTTAATAAACTACCCGATAAATGATAATACTAAAATAAAAAGAATGCTAGAAAAATAAAAGTATATGTAAAAATTAATAAGTAAACTATAAAAAATGTTTATATAATTCAGAACTTTACTGACATTGATTATATTTTCTGACATTTATCTAATCAAAGTCTGGCTGAAGTTTGTGTGTCAGAGGGAATCATAATGTTAATTCAGAGTCAGGGTGTTTGTACGCATGTGTCTGTGGGTAAAATGGTGATGAATAATCAGTTTGGACTACATTGCTGATTCCCTGCATGAATGATGTGTGTGTTTGTGTGTGTGATGTAAATATGTGAGATGGTTGTGGCAGCATGAGTGACAGGCTTTTTAAGCGGAGCTCTCATTCACATCACATACCACTTGCATAATACAATATATCTGTCAACACTTGAAGCCATATAGTTGCCAGAAACGTGTCGGGACACACAACGTCTCCTTTTTAAACAAGTTTAATCTCAAATCTCACCACACAGAAATACATAAAGCTCCGGTGGACAGTACTTTGCTACTCAGCTAAGATTGTCAGGCAGCTAAGAGGTGGTCTCATTATTGAAATGAGAAATTATTGAATATCTAACCTGCCTGTCAAGGGAAAAAGATAATGAGAGAGAGGGGAGGAAGGACTGAATACCAGGGTCACTTTCTAGCAGAATGAATGGTGAACTAATATTCTGAATGAAAGTCTTCTCCTAAGGTCTTGGCTTACTGGTGTGTTTTCTTCTTCTATATTTAGCAACGATTTTCAAATTGTGCTCAAAGGTTGTGTGTGAATGTCTGTGCTGGTGTGTTTCGGCACGTTTCACATTCGCTGCCATCAGACCAGATGTCGTGGGCCCCGCACAGTCACACTGCATACACACACACACACACACACACACATTCTGCCTCAGAGTAAGAAAACTGTCATAATACAATCGCATTATGAGTCAGAAATCTTGTAATGCAAACTTCATGATCGCCACAACATCAAAATATGTGCATGCAGCTAATTTCTAAGTTCTAAGCCAAATACTGACTTTATAGACTTTCACCTTGATGCCATAATAAGATTTTGCATTTGCGCATGTTTTATTAGGCAGCCACATTTATCTCTGGCAACTTGCCTTGGATCTCCAGACGTTTTCTTCCATTCAATGAAATTGATGGATCATCAAGGCTGTTGTGCCTTGTACATTTATTGGCTACTCAAGTGTCACCTCTGCTCTATCCCAACGAATCAAAAATGACCTCTTTTGAGCATGTTGTTGCCCAGCTGGTATTGTTTCAGTCTAGTGTTTAGAAGAGGCTTTGGTTCAAATGTTCATGAATGAATATTTCTTGGTATTAGAATTTCATAGTATCTGCTTAAAACAATACTTAACCCAAAAAATAACAATTCTGTCATTGTTTACTCAATGTTATGAGCCAATCCTGTATGATTATATGACCTTTATAAGTGCAGTAATGATGTGCTGCTGTTGCTGTTACTTACTTGTATTGGTTTTGGGCATTTTTGGAGCTTGTTTGATCGATTTGGAAAAAAGCAGCATTATGTAGGCTCCCCAGGTTTCCTCAACAAAAACCCAGTTGGAATTTTCCATTAGCTTTTGGATTACTGCAGAAAATATGCTCTGTGACCAACAAAAGTTTAATTTTCTGACACAATTTTGAAGCCTAAATAAATCACCAGAAGTAAGAAGCTAAATGTTGACTATACTATTACAAACAAAGTACACTATTATTATATCACCACCATGAAGCTTTGAGTTAGAACAATTTACAAGAGTGTGATTATAGACACAAGGATGTAAAAAGCAGATTTGTATGTATGTGTGTGTGTGTGTGTGTGTGTGTGTGTGTTTCCATGGCAACTTCTGTCCTAGTTAGCAACCACCTCTTTCAAAACAGCCTAAATAAAGTTTTTTTTTTTTAATCACACATTGGTATTACGGATGTATTTTAAGTCATAGAATACAACGTGAAAATATCATAAGCTTGACTATAGGATGATGCAACTGGAAGTGCTAAAATGCTAACTCCTTTCCATGTTTGGCTCACAAAAATACTTCATCCCTGCTACACTTTCAAACCATAACCTTCCCATGACCCTCTGTCAAAAGACCGGTAAAGAACCAGGTCATGACAGCACATGAGGGCAGCGTTTCTCACAGCAATATAAGAGACATAAACAACGCATGGGCTTTGTTTGGAATGCAACATATTGTTTCTGCATTGCTGCACTGTATACACTGTATATATTACCTACTATTTTATAAATATAACATGCAACAATAAACACTTCAGATAGTAGCTTGCTGTACTCATGAAACCTTATTATGTTGCATGTGTAAAATATGCAGTATGTTGCATTTGTATAACATTTGCATATTTCTTTGTATAAAATTTTAATATTTTTGGTAATATTTTGTATAAAATGGTATAAAATTGGTATATTTCTTAATTTATGGTAATCCAATAAAACTCAACATACTAGAAATGGGAGAAAATGTGCAGAAAAATATAATATATTCAAATGATTACTATTATATATGCTTTTTTGGATATAATGCAGTCAGTACATAAACACAAACATGACATTGCCACTCCACAGCAGCAGCAGAGAGGGGAATCATGAATCGAGTCAGAAAGAAATAGAGAAAGAGATTAAGCTACAATTGTACCTTCTAGTAGAAGGAGAGTAAGAGTGGATAGAGGCTTCCGGATCCTGACAATACTAGATAAATCTCAGGGGAAATTGAGAGCTAAGCTTAAGTTTGCTCATTTCTCAAAAGAAAAAAACCTGCCATTAATCCAAAGCTTTTCAAAAAGCCTCTTGAAGTATCAATTGCATGGCAAGTCAGACCAGATTTTTAGCAACAGTCAACATGTAAGAGACACTCATGTTTAACAGAAGGGATGGAAAAAAGAAAAGTTGATCCTAAATACACGGGAAAGGAATTGCTAAACTTTGTGAATCGATAGCAACAGGCCTAAGTATTACAGGTATTAATTTGCTCATTTCTCAAAAGAAAAAAACCTGCCATTAATCCAAAGCTTTTCAAAAAGCCTCTTGAAGTATCAATTGCATGGCAAGTCAGACCAGATTTTTAGCAACAGTCAACATGTAAGAGACACTCATGTTTAACAGAAGGGATGGAAAAAAGAAAAGTTGATCCTAAATACACAGGAAAGGAATTGCTAAACTTTGTGAATCGATAGCAACAGGCCTAAGTATTACAGGTATTAGAACAAAAGTTGATACTGTTGAAATATGGGTTATGACGACTATAGTATCATGATATTGAATGAAATTTCATCATAATGTGACTAAAAAAAAGTTTTAGATTTTAACTCTGGCATTTTGTGTTCACAATGGTAAATACAAAAAAGTTTCTTC